TGTGTATTCTTTCTAATCCGTGTCGGACACCAGTACAGAACCCACGCTGTTGCCCCCTCACCGGGCCGGGGACCGGCAACGGGATCGCAACCCTCGGCGCTGCTCCCGCGCCTCGCTCAGCCAGCGAGCGGGAACCGGTCTGTATGTGGGATCCGAACCCTCGGGCGGGAGAGCGCCGCCGCGCTTCCCAAGCAGCGCACTATCCAGTGCGCCACCGGGCCGGCCCAGACACTTACTTTTTGATCTTGGGCAGGTTATTCATTCTGAGCCTCAGTGTTTTCATCTGTAAAATGGAGATTATGTCTACCTTATAGGATCGTTGTGGGATTAAATATGATAATGTGTGTAAAATAGCTGAATAGCTCAAATGTTTGTTCCCTTCCAAAGGGGAGAAACAACTCTTCACCTAAGCATGCTCCTAAAGGAGCTGCTTTAAACAGTGATAATGTACTAAGAAAGCATATCTAAATAGAATATTTGTTGGAATAAAAATCACATAATTTGTATTTATACTAACAGTCAGATTATGAATGCGTAAGAGAGGAGTTAACTTGGATTTTTTTGTTTGTATTTTGTTGTTTTTGGTGGCTGGCCAGTATGGGGATCCAAACCCATGACCTTGGTGTTATAAGGCTGTGCACTAACCAGCCAGCCCCAACTTGGATTATTTTTTTTAAATGACAATTGTGATTTAAACAACTAAGGAATGAATGATTTTTTTTTGTTTGTTTTTAGATACCGTTTTTATCTTCCTGTTGGTCCCAAGCAGTTCTAAAAGGATTAACCACAGTTTATTTTCGTACCTTACATAACTTAAAATTAGTCACATTAAAATGATTGACAGTTTTAAGACTCAGGAGAGTTCAAAGTATGAAAGTTTATTTTACATGGGAAACTGAATATTTTCTAATAAACATTTATTTACTGCATATAACAGAATAATGCCAGTCAACTAGAAGAGGAAAGCGAGTTCTTAAATGTTAAAAAGTTTATAAAAGAAAATACTTTACATCTTAACATCATGTTTAGGATAAAATACTATCATGAGAATAAAATCCATAAGAATTGGATAGAACCTAGCAACACCCTTTACTGCATACATTTTCAATAGACAAAACCTGGTATTTTGTACCAAAATCTCATAACAGTAATTGTATAGGTGTGGCCCTTTAAAAAATGGCAGCATTGTGCTTAAATCAGAAGTTTGTTCTGATTTCCTCATCATAAGTAGAGATTGCAGCTAATAGTACCCTTTGTTAGGAATTACTTAAAGGCCCAGTGCAAAGTTAAGACTTTTGGTTTACATAGTCAAGCCAGTTACATTTATACTTGCCTTGATATCCTTGCTATAGCCTAAGCAGGTGTTAGACTGTACTATGACATACAACAAGACCATCCTATTATATCTATGTTACAATTAAACATTAGTCTCAGAAAGTGAACTCTAGTAATTTATTACAATTTCACCCTGATTTTGAGTAAATCCCATTCTGCTCATGTTCACTTTTGTTGTAAAGAGGATTTATTTCTTAAAAGATTCTGAAAGCTGAGAAATAGATGTAGTTAGCACTGCAGAGAGAACTTAATAATGACTTCAAGGTTATGGTCAAAATGATCTCCTCAAAATGGCCTTCTTGTATGACTTCCATCAGTCACCAGCCTTCTCAAAACTGTAGATGGTTCAGCCCTACCGTATAAAACCTAATGAAAGTAGAAAAAGGAGTACTTTTTAAACAAGTACTTAAGTCGCTCTTTCGAGTCTTTAAAAAAAAAAAACCAACCTTTGGCTTCGAAGTTTCTGAAATGATTGACTAAATTTATAAAAGACCATGATTTAGCAATAGCTTTTTTTCCCCTTTGGTTCAGTCTTTTTGAAATCCACTTTGTCTGCAGGAATAATGTATCCATCACTCAGCCTTTTTAATGGTCTTCCGGTAACGAAGTACTGTAGCTGTTACCCATATGTTTAAAGCCAGCATGATCACAAATCGTATAAGAACTGAAATCAGTCAAAAAGGAAGAAAAAGTGTGTATTAAAAACTTTTCCCATTATAGAGCAAAATCACCTCCTGCTCTAAGTAGAAGCCTCAATAAAGCTTTACCCCTTACTCTGGAAAAGAAACTTCACTACAGATCATGAGAACTTTGAACAACTTTTGGTTCCAAATATTTTTGGGGAAATATCTTCCTGTCATAATCATAACTTATCACCTTAAATGCTTAAGTTAGAGTAATCTGGGTCTGGCTTTATAACTTTTTAAGGTCACTTTACTCATTTTAAGTTTCAAGGGTGCTGGTGTCTCAGAACATTCTGTGTTAAGCAAAGGTAATGCATTGAACAGAATGCGTTGCATTCTAAGATAATTCTGAAAAGCTGACCCAAATGTCAAAGCATATTTTATATTGAAGTAACTATAAAAATGTTGTGATAAAAAAAAAAAAAAAAAAAAGAAAAATGTAACTTTTTTTTTTTTTTTTTGTCTTTCTCCGAGTCCGGCAACGGGATCGCAACCCTCGGTGCTGCTCCCGCGCCTCACTCAGCCAGTGAGCGGGAACCGGTCTGTATGTGGGATCTGAGGTCTGTATGTGGGATCTGAACCCTCGGGCGGGAGCGCTGCCGCGCTTCCCAAGCGGCGCACTATCCAGTGCGCCACCGGGCCGGCCCAGAAAAATGTAACTTTAACAGTGACTTAACTTCCACTTTAAGGCATGAACACACTCCTAATAAATAATGTTTATGAGATTTAAGATATCTTTGTGATTGTAAAACACATGTAAGACGTTAGCTAAACTATTTTTTAGAAGTTATCTCCAGATATACTGGTCACTTTTAGGAACAGCTGTCATAGATGAGAAATCACAATTAGAACATTCTTGTTCTTTTAAACTTAATTTTTAATGTATAGGTTTATTTTGTTGTTTATTGTTTGACTCTCCTTTCCATGCTGATAATTCTTCCAAATCCTGTGGAGAAGACCCAGGCCTGTCTCCTTTCCTGTTCCCTACTTGATCAAAGTTCACGCTTTGAACATTTTTATCTTACAGTCAGAGCTGATGAAAAGTATCTGAGCCAAAGGTACAGCTTCTGGGAAGGGACTAACAAATGCATCTCTCTGTTCTGAAGCAATATTTCTCAAATAATAATTAGCTTAATTAAAGCGTCTTTGTGCTGGGGACATTTTCTAATCCTCACAGACTAGGTGACACCATCTATTCTAATCATTTTCTAAAGATTTATAACATATGCTTGATTTGGGAATTGAAAACTCAGCCTAAGGAATTACTAAATTTCTTTAAAAAAAAAAAAAAAAAAAAAAAAAAGACCAGTAAGGGGATCTTAACCCTTAACTTGGTGTTGTCAGCACCACGCTCTCTCAAGTGAGCCACGGGCCCGCCCTACTAAATTTCTTTTTTGGGTAACCAAAGTATTTTCTCCTATATCACAGCTTTTTATTTTTAAGAAAACAGAACAAGAACATGCAGGCAAATGATTATGCTGCTCCCTGCTTTAAAAAAAAAAAAATGCCTTCAGAGGCTTCCTACTGCCATGGGCATCTCTCTCAGGCTCTGGACTCTGCCAGCCTCACTTCCCTGTGCTCCTCAAACTCACTCCCCATGCTCTCTGCACTGCAGCCCGACAGCGTCACGAGCAAGGTATCCCCTTTGCTCATGGCCTTCACACATGCTGCTCCTTGTAACTCTCTTCCGCCCCCTTCTCCACCCTTTCCTCTGATTCAATCTCTACTCATCCTTAGGATCTCAGTCTTCAAATTAATCTTCCCAGCTCCCTCAAACTAGGGCAGGTTCCGTTGGTGCTCATCCTACCCTACTCTTTCAAAACACACTTCACAATATAATTCACTAGTTATTCGTGTGATCACTGGCCATTTCCACTGCTGAAGTAGAAGCTCCACAAAGACAGGAACCTACTGTCTTGTGCATATTCTATCCCTTGTACTACAAGTAGATGCTGATGAATAAAAATGGTGACCGATGAAGACTAGGAATACATTGCTGCTGTCCTCCAAATCTATAATTCAATAGAGCCAAGTTGATCTATTAAACCCTAAGACAATGAAACCCTCCCAAATGAAGGAGGCACAAATAACACAAAATTCAAAAAGAAAGTAGGAAGGAAAATACTTTACTTACTTGTAAAATCATTGGTGGTCATTAAAGTTGTTATTATTCTTGCTGTAAAGGGAAATTTGCAGTAATAAATAACTTGCTTCTCATTTTGCTGTTTAGCTAATTAATGTTTTTCTCTTTTAACATACTAATTTCTTAAAAGATTTTGGTAGTAGTACAGAAAACTAAAAAATATTTCATAAACATCTAAAAACCATCCATTCATCCTAGCCCAGTGGTTTTGAAGCTGCTCACAAGAGCAGAAGCAGTTCCTAGAAGGTTCTTCAGTGCTGCTCAGGGAGGCCGGCGGAGGCTGAGCTCCCCTTTCACCACTACTGTGTGCCAACCCCCATGTCCCCACCCTCAGAAAGCAACTTTAAGAAATCTCCTTTATGTACTGAGCTGCTGGGTAGTTTCATTTAAGGAAAGGTTCCTACTAATTAAAAACAATGTTTTTAAATCACTGAATTCTACTTCCATATCTTATAAATAAGAAAACTAAGGCCCAGAAAAGGGTAAGATTTTCCTAAGAGTCTTACTAGAACTGTTTTGTTTAATTCATTTTTTTGGCATAGCCCTTCACTTGGTAAACATTTAGGAAATTGGGGTAAGAGTTTAAACTGCCATATGTGAGCAACTGAATTGGGAGCTGGAGAACACTACTGTCTACAACTCAAGGGGCATGCCTTTCCTGACTCAAACCAACCCATCAAAAGCTCTCCCTCTGCCTAACACATTTTGCATTTAGCATATATTGACATAGTTGCTTTTGGGTTTTATCTTCCAGCTAAACTGTAAGTCCTTGAAGGGCACAGACCAAATCCTGTAAGATTTTTTTGTTGCCAAATTTGATAACCCAATTCTTTACTCACACACCAGGTAAACAGTTGTTGATTAAATCAGCAATTTAAATGGAAGAAATGAAGTAAGTATGTAGAAGAGATATCTGCGCTCCCATGTTCATTGCAGCACCACTCACAATAGCTAAGACAGGAATCAACCTAAGTGTCCATCGGTGGGTGAATGGACAAAGAAAATGTGGTATATACACAGTGCAATACTATTCAGCCTTTAAAAAGAAGAAAATCCTGTCATTTGCAACAACATGGATGAACATGGAGTTATGTTAAATGAAATAAGCCAGGCACAGAATGACAAATACTGCATGATCTTACTTACATGTGGGATCTAAAAACGTAGAACTCAGAAATAGAGAGTAGAATGGTGGTTACTAGGGGCGTGGAATGGGGAGGCGGAGAGTAGTGGACATGTTGGCTTCACTTAGAAAGGAGGAATAAATTCAAGAGATCTATTGTACAGCATGATGACTACAGTGGGAAAAAAACTTGTTAATAAATGCTACATGGAAGTAACTGGCTCCAAGGTGAACTGGAATATAGTAACCAATGGAAGAAAACTAGGACAAATGCTAAAAATGCATTTCATCTTTTTAATCCCTTTACATCATAAAGATTCAAGTTTTTAAAATATATTAGTGGATTCAATATAATCAGCCCCTTGATGCTTTTCAAAGAAGAGAGAACTTAATATTAAGCCAGATTTTGGGGGGGAAATGTGCTTTCACCTCTTTTTGTCAACTAGAATATGGGTCTGGCAGAAAATGGACAGGAGTCTGTATTGAATCAGTCTTGTGAATATGGATATGCTTAGGAGATTCTTTCTGAATACTTATGCGAAGTATTAAAGCTCAAGGGACCATGACACTTCAACACCAAGTTAATACACTTCAGGTGGACCCCTGGTGCTGACAAAGGCCACCCCTCCACTTGCGTCTTGTTCTTACTCGCACAGGTGTATGAAGAGAGGCTCCAGGTCAGTGCGCTAACAGCTCCTGAGTCCCTTGTCTTCCACAGATGCTGCAGCTGCACAAACTTACTAGCCGCACTGATGAAAGTACATAAATTCTGTTTGCAGATAAAACGTGAGAAAGTCAGGAGTCTACTTGTTAAAAAAGCAAAAGAACACCAGATATACAAAGCATTTCTGAAGCCAAATTTTCAGTTCAAGTAATAACCAATTTGTACAGGGTCGAAACCTAACTTTGGTGAAAAAGAATGCAACACTGAGATGCTTATTTATAACCCACGAATTCAACTGTCCAGTGGGTAACTAATGGGCTATAGCTAGTTTGAAGCTAGGAATAAAAAAGAATCACTGCATGGCTACAAAAGCTTATCTATCCACATCTACCAATACAAAGTAGATACATAGATATTACTGTGTTTCAGACTCTGCGGAAAACCATGCTGTGTTGAACTGACACTCAAAACAGCAAACTGTGGTTCATCAGCCCTAAATTTCTAGCTATTCTAGCAAGGAGTCCACGTAGTGGTGCACTTGAGTCCTCTGCTACCCTGCAAGATAAGAGAGCTTCTCAAATTAGCCTGCAGCTCTGCACAGCACCTCCACCCTGAGCTGGGCCTGGGCCCACCGTTACAACTCTGCAGCAGCTGAAACTCCAGCTGCTGGGTTACATACAGACCAACTGGAGGCAGGTGAAAGCCAGGAGACCAGTGAGGAGGCTACTGCAGTCACCCACGTGTGTACCAGGGTGGCAGAAACAGAAGAGGTGTGAAGTGCTCACGTTCTGGATATACTTTGAAGGTAAGACTAACAGGATTTGCTGAGGTACTGGCAGTGGGATGTGAGAAAACGAAGTCATGGCTGAGTCCAAGCTCCAGTGTTTATGGCAAGTGGAAGAACGGAGTTGCATTAATGCAGAGAAAGCTGCAGGAGGAGCACGTTTTCTGGAAGAGGTGTAGGGCAGGAGATCAGAAACTCAGCTTTGTACATGTGATGTTGGAGATGCTGATTAGACAGGTGAAGCTGAGGATGTGGTGGCTGGATATAAGCAGTGTGTGCTGGACGCCTGGGGCCGCCTCCGTTGAAGAAGGCAGGGAGATGAGGAACCGGCACAGACACCAGAAAGGATCAGGGACACTGCGGAGTGAGGTGCCCGGAGGCCCAGTGAACAAAGCGATTCCAGGAGGAATCTGTCTATGGCATCAAATGCTAGTAGCTGGCTCTAGCATGAATGAGTTGCTGGTGGCCCTGACGAAAGCAGCGTGTTTATTTTCTGTCCCCAGGAGAAGGAAAGCTCTGTGAGGGGGACACTTGCTCTGTTTTCTGCTGGTTCCCCAGCACCTGGAAGAGAGCTGGCCCCTGGCCAGCCCTCAAGAAATCCCTGTTGAATGAATAAATCCTTGATAATCATGCAGTTTGGCAAATGGGATGATAAAGGTGCACGTGGGAGAACTTGGGGGGAAAGAAGGGGTTACTTGGACAAGGAGGAATGATGGAGAAGAAAGTACTCCCAGGCACAGGAGTGGAGCAAGGGCCTGTGGTCAGCCCATGGAGAGACAAAGACAGGTCACACTGGAGCAGGACTCCAATGGCATGGAGGGAGGCTCTGTGCTCTCTGGGGGCCGGGACGGAGCAGGGAAGGGCTGCAGGGGAGGCCTCGCATTTGAGAGCCAGCCTAGGTGTGGGCTCAGTGTGGGCTGGGGGGAGCTGGGCAGGAATCGGGGAGCATGGGGGAGAAGTGGCTTTGGCACACATCAGGGCACAGGACCTTGTGATGACAAGTGCTGCTAGATGTTCTACCAGATTCATCTTTCAGAAGAGCCGTCCTTGAGATAATGAAGTGGTTTTGCTTTGGGCCATAACCAAGACCTGGACATCTTCTTACACACAGGCTTAAACTGTCATGGAGATTATTTTTAAGTACTTTAATCATCTTTTTGTGAATAAACGATGAGTATGGGAATTATCAACATACCCATGAGAGCAGAGCTTAGTACTTCTGTGGAAATGATTTGATTAGCAGTAAAACTATAAACATTCTAAAACTTAGATTTTTCACTACTTCAAACGGCAGTCTCCCCCCTATGGGATCCTAGGGTTTTTCTGGAACATGTGATCTCTGAAGCCCCTGTTCATGTTCCTGCACTGCAGTTCCACAACCCTCAGATCCGGCTACCTTGACCCCCAGGCCCTGGGGCCTGCCAGGGTGAATACTTATTGCGTCAGTGAAGGGGGGATCCTGGACAGCCAGAGCGCAGAGCCTGGTACTCAGCCCGTGCCTGATGGAGGAAGGACTGCAAATTGTATCTTATGAATACGGTGTCATCGCTGTATGGTTAGGACACACCACTGACAAGACACAGTAGAAACACCCCAAACTGCAGCCTTTGACCTTTGGACCAGATTCCTGATGAGCCTATGCCACATTCCCGGAACGATGTTTCTTGGGGGTGAAGGCTGACAGCCGCTCTTTGACAACTTAATCACCTCCAAACAGCCACCACATGAGCGCAGTAGCAGGTACTGAGATCCCAAACATCCTCGTTTGTCATGTTGCCAGATTTATCAAAGAAAAACACAGGACACCCAGTAAAATCTGAATTTCAAATCCAAACAGCCACCACATGAGCGCAGTAGCAGGTACTGAGATCCCAAACATCCTCGTTTGTCAGGTTGCCAGATTTATCAAAGAAAAACACAGGACACCCAGTAAAATCTGAATTTCAAATCAACAACAAGTAATTTTTTAGTATAAGTATGTCCCGTGCAATATTTTGCACCTACTTATACTACAAAAAAATTCATTGTTAATATGGCAACCCCACTTATTTGTTCTCCAAAAGTCATAAGGCTGAAACGTAACACAGAGAATCGAGTCCACTTTCCAAGAAAGGGTCACAGAGAAGATGGGGTGGAGGAGGGTAAAATTCATGAGTTTGGGTGTGGCAGGCAGTGACCTGTGACCACCAATTAGTTCCCTCCTCCCTTTCCAGTTGGGGGGAAACGTCCACTTCTGTCAGAGAAGATCTGTGGTCAAATGCGCCCTGACCCATTATCAGAATCTCATGGAAATTTCTGGCCCTGAGCCAAGGAAGGAAAGAGTAATCCCTTTTCCAAGGAGGGATAAAAATGTTTGGGGGGCAAAGTCAGAAAACTAATGAGTTTGTGGCCAATATGTAATTATTAACCCATGCTCAGTTCACTCTGCGACTGTGAGCCTGATTCTCTATGGCCCCCAAAAAAGAAAGAAAAATTTTGCCACACATTTATTTACTTGTTTATTTGGGGGGCAGCTGGTCACCACTACACATTTGAATAAGAATAATGTCTTTTAATAGAATGTCTTTTAACAGCACTGCACATTCATCCCATTACCCCTTAGCACAGCTCAAAAAACTGCAGGTTCAACATTTGATCTAGAAAGTTCTTTCCAGGACAGGTGGCATGGAGAGGAGAGAAGAGAGTGGCTGCTTCGCCCCTTTTTAAGGGGCAGTACTCACCATGGCCAGGTCTATGATCCACTTCTGCAGGCCGAGGATGAACCAGGAAGACACAAATCTTACCAAGTGCTAAGGGGGCCATCAGTGGGTGGCGGCAGCTCCCCCTCCTCCTGTCTCATGCAAACAAACCAAGACCACAGAGAGCTACCCAGAGAAGCCACGTGTCGAACCGAGACTGCTCTGCTAGAACCGGTCAGATTTGGAATAAACAAAACAGGTTTCAAGTCCATACCTGCTCAGACTTCAAAGAACAAAATCAGATTAGGGAGGGAAAATTCAAAGACACCTGTGTTCAAACACTATTCCCTAGGAACATTCTTAAAGGTTTTAACTGCCCACTTAATTCCTGACCATGCGGACACCTCCAATTTATTGTCAAAAGGTAAGCATTCAAAAGACAGGTCCAACATGATAAAGTAGCAATGTTCTGTAAAATTGGAGTGACGTGAACTTTTGTTTACTGATTTCCCCATTTCTTCCTAACTCCACTGCAAAAATGATACAGCTGGGTGTAGACAAAGCACAGGAAGAATGACATTTGATTTTCATTCTGGCATTTGCATTGAGCTCAGTGATGCTGCAAGAACGGAGATCCCAGCTAGAGCTGCTAAGCCAGCACCAGAGAGACAATGGCCAGGGCAGGGAGGGGACGCCAGGAGGCTCCAGGGTGCCCTTGGGCAAGTCTCTTTCCATCTCTTGATCTTGGTTTGCTTATCTGTAAAACAGACTTACAGTCCTATCTACCTCCTAAATGCCTAAGAGCACATAGTAAGAGATTGCTGTCATTTTAACTGATGACATCAATTAAATGAATACAGTAAATTATAAGACTATAGTGCAGACATGGCTGCAGAACCTCCCTTCTAGTAAAACACAAAAGATGACCCTGTCATTTACCCAGCATGTCTGTGATCCTAGTACATCTAGTTCTTATAACAACCCTAAAAGATAAATAGTATCCCATTTCACAGATGGAGGAACTGCAGCTTAGAGAGCTTAAGGTACATGCGAGGCCACCCAGGTGGTGGCAGGGGACATGTCCGGTCTGACTCCATGCCAGGCACTTCCCACCACTGCACACCCACACACTCACCGCCCGTGCTCAGGGCAGACAGGCCACACAGGCCATGGGCCGGCGGGTCCCTCCCTTGTTCCTCCACCCTGAAGAGGCTGTAGGAATAAACAACTCAGGCCATGTCACAGACATGGCAGGGTCAGCTGACAGCCATTGCACTTCAAAAGGCTTTCCTGGCCTCTTAGGGACTCCCTACAAAGAGAGTTGAGAGAAAGCCTCACCCTCATTCAGGAAGATGCCACCGTGTGGGGACATGTTTGTGATGACGAGGCTCCCACTGGAGCCTCGTGGCCCCCGACTGGCTAGGAGCAGGATCTGCAGTGTGAACCAGCCATTGTGAGTCCCCACCACCTGCCAACAGGAGTGAACAAGCTAGTCAACCAGGGGCGTGAGGGGCACGGTGCTCCACGCCAGATTTTCTTCTTAGTACTTAAATACTTTGGGGACATATCAGGGAAGGAATAAATGTGTCAGATAAACGAATAAAGTTGGACACTGTTGCTCTTTGCAGGGGTTGATTCTGTACTTCAGCGTGTCCCCCAGATCCCCCAGTGAGATGCTAATGAGCCTGTTAGCAAAACCTGGGGTGCCCTGCTGGGGGGAGTGAGGGGAGGCCACTGTCAGGGATCGTACCAAGGGCATCTCTGGGATGCATTTGGGAATCTTTTGTAGTTTAACCAAAATTATATATCTAGTAAATGGCCCTGCTTGATAATGCATACTATTAGCAGGTCACAGCCTGAATCCCACTCCTGATTCTCAGATGCTGGAAGGATACACAGCGATGTACGGTGCAGCCTGCTTCACGTTCCCGTTAAAATGGAAGATGCAGAGGAGGAGGAGGAGGTCTGAAAGAGAATGGCTCGGAGTGAGCGGGAGGAAGGCGGACGGAGGACAGGCCTGCTGGGAGGACAGGCCTGCTGGAGGGGCAAGGGCGTTACCTTGCGTGATGAGGATGGGGTATTCCAGGAAGGTCAGCAGCGGGTACTCGCAGTAACACTGGTACCGGAGAAACGCCAGGAACCTGGGGACGGAGGGCACACGTGTGACTGCTTGGCTGTCCAGCACCCGGGAATGCAGGTTCCTTTGCTGTGTCCTGGCACTGGTGGTGTGGAGCCCCAAGTGTCAGAGGGCAAGATTTAGAACAAAATGCACGGAGTGTCGATTTAATAATCAGAACAATTTTTGGAGCTGCCCGTAATTGCTGGGCGCTGATCATTATCAAGTCCCTTAAAGTGGTCATTTACACAGGAGGGCACATGGCTGACCAGGATGACAAGAGATGGGTCCTTCTGGACCCAGCCCTGCCTGTCTCCAAGGCTGGGCTCCGAGGGGCCTGGGGCCCACCCCTGGGTGCTGGGTCTGGGACAGGGCTTCCGAAGGCTGGCAGGAGCTGAGGAGCCCGTGTGCTAAAGAGAAGGCCACCTGCCCAGTCCCTGTGCCCATCCACAGGTGCCATCCCCGAGAGGGCAGAGTGGGAAAGATGAAGGACAAGCCTTAATTCCTCTAAGAAAATTCCAGCTTTGTGAGAGGCTGGGGTGGAGGGCTGCAGACCCCAGGACCCCACCTTTCTGGGGAGAAAAGGCCCAGCTTCCTGCCTTCCTGGCTCACACGCAGCCCAGTCTCCTCCCTCAGGACCTGGACCCCCGCTCTGTCCCATCACGCAGCTGGTGTGTGTTGAGACTCCCAGGGGCAGGCAGGAAGGGGAGCCCGAGCCCTGGGACTTCAACCCACCAGGGGCCCCGCTTCCCCCCAGGGCTCTCGTTTCCCCAGCTGGGAAGGCGCAGGGAAAAGTGTTGACAGGAGGACAGCAGCCCAGGGAGCTCGTGCCCCGGACCCTGCTTCTTTCCATGTACAAGTCTCGGCCTCGCTGGGGGCCGAGTAGGAGGGGGTCCCAGGACAGGAGGCCAGAGCCCAGTGTCACCCTGGGCACATGGGCCTCCTGTGGCCAGGCCTCTGCAAGACCAGCAGCGTCCCCTCAGCCTGACTGCCCATGGGCTCTCGAGGGGCTTTGCGGGGGGCCATCTCCCAGGTTCAAGGACAGACGGGTGCCTCTGCCCTGGATCTGCTCCTCAGTGTAGAATCTCCTCCCGCCTGGCCTCCTGAGCAGCCCCTCTCTGTGCACCTGTGAGTGAGAATGGAGGTGTGGGGGCAGGGCAGCTGCATCCCACCCCCCTCTGCAGCACTCAGTCTACAGGGGAACTGGGCCACAGCAAGCTGCCCTGCAGGCCACGCTGAAGGAATGTGCGAGAACAAAGGCCATGGGGTCTGTGTGCATCGGTCTCCCCCAGTGCAGCCAGAGACCCACAGGACAGGCCTGAGGATCTGGACTGTCCGAGCTGTGCTTGCCTTCAGGAGTCATCCACCCTGGCCTCCATACCTTACAGAACACTTGGGGAAACTAAGACCCAAAGAAGCCAAGGCCTTATCAGAACTCAGAGACAAGGAAGAGCCTGGATTTCCTGACACCAATCCAGATGGTGCCATCACCCCCCATGTTTTGTCCTCTTCTCTCACATGGCCGTCCTGCTGCAGTGCTTTCAGTGGGACCCAAACTCCTCACAGCTCCTGCAGCCTGGGAGAGTGGGGGCAGTAGGGCCTTTCCTTTCCTTTTTAATGTCTGTTTTAATTAAAAATAGAAAAAAAAAGTAATAGCTAAAATGCTCACTATAATAACATCAGGCCAGACAGTCATCTGACACCCGGCCGGCAGGTGGTTTCCACTCCCTGCCTGCTCTTTGGAGTCACTTGAGTTTTCCACCTCAACACACGTGCTGGAGGTTACACAAAGACCACTCACATCCACAGGCACAGGGAGGAGAGTAAGGGGGCGCCGGGGCTTGAACCCACCACTCTTCCAAAGGAATCTGACCAAGAGGCCAAAGCTCCAACAGCCTAACCCGGGAAGGGGAGCACAGGTGGCACCAGCCGGACGCCCCGCCCTCGCACTGAGGCCCCCAGTGCCGGTCCACAGAAGGTTCCCGAGCAGGGGCTGGCAGCTCGGCATCGTGCTCCGGGAGGCGCCAGCGCTGCAGAGCTGATGCCAGAACCCAGGAGGGCCCAGGAGGCGGAGGAGGACGGCCCGCAAAGCTGGGCTCACGGGAGGACCCCCTGTGTCGAGGACCCACCCTCAGAGCCGCTGGGTGACAGCGGGTGAGCAAAGTAGGGGACCCGCCTGGCCAGGAGCGAGGCCGCCAGTTTCTGGTACATGTTTTCCCACCAATCCCAGTCTTCCCAGCAAAAAAATGTCACAACTCTGCTGTTCACGTTACGTCTTTAGCTACTGAGTCGGCGCACCCACTGGGGTGTCGCAGGACACACCCGCTCCCGCAGCAGCCTCCGCGCCTCCTGCCTGTCCAACCCCGGCCCCCTGCGGGCGTCGACTCACGTCTCCTCCACTTCTCCCTCCAAAGGTCGCCCCATGGTCTGAATCCCCCCAGACATGAACATTATTATAAAGCCCGGGGGGCCCTTAGAGCTCACTGTCTTACAAGTGAGGAAACCGAGGCTGGAGAAAGAGGGTGATGGTGCGGGGTGGGTTGAAGGGCCACGTATGTGGGAAAGGCTCGCGGTGCGGGTGCCTTGCTCAAGGCCCGCAGGTTTTGTCACTAACGGGCCGAGTGCTGCTTCCGACAAGTCTCCGTTTTCTCATCTGTAAAATGGGCGCGCGCCGTCCGCTCGTACCGTGCGGGGCTTGGTGCGCTCACGAGGGTGTTGAGCAGCCCTGGGAAGGGCCCCCAGCCCCAGGGCTCCCGGTGGACTCTCAGTCGCCGGCGACAGCGCGGGAGCTCGGGGACCGCCCCGCCCTACTGAGTTAGACCCGCGGCTCTCCCGGCTCCACCCCGGCCGCGGGGGCGAGGAGGAAGGCGGTTGCCCGCTGCCCCGACCTTACCCCGCCAGCTCCAGCAGCAGGCTCGGGAGGCTGATGCCCCGCGCGCTGCGCGCCGCCAGCACTGCCGAGATCTGCGGCAGCTTGAGCGCGGCGCACACGCCCAGCGTGCTCCAGTTGCAGAACCACAGAAGCGCGGCCTCCATGGCGCCCGCGGGGCGCGGGGACCGGCCGCACGGTTGGGGCCTCGCTCG